CCCCCCTCCCCCCCCCCCCCCCCCCCTACAAGACCAAAGTTGCTTCCAGTGAACCTGCTTACTGAGAAACCTTCCTGGGCGTAGCTGTTATGACTTTTAGTCTTGATTTGCCAACAGCCAAACTTTCTCTAAACGACTGAGTGCACCTGTGTTTGACTTCACGTACAAGGGCTCAGATATTCTGCCTTCAGCAAAACCATACGGAGGTTCCTCACTTTGCTCTGAATCCTAAATGTCAAACGGTGCAGTGTCATCTTACACTGCCCCCCCCCTCCATGTAAAAGGTTGAACCTTATGGGATGTTGCTTCTGTTCTATTATTGACAGTCTGTATCGACACTGTGGCTCAAAAATGCTGCTGCAGACGGAGCTTCACATATCTGGGTCAGGGTCTGCTAATGTAAGTAACAGGGGGATCCGGGGATTAAAATCTGTTTATCTGCCTTTGTATAAACCCTGCTTTATAGCCCTCACTTGAGCTTTAGCTAATATGATTTGTATTGTGAACAGTGTGCTTGCAGGCTGGATATATACGACCCGCGGACATCACCATCCGACTCACGTTGCGGCCGATCACTCAGAGAGAAGAATGGTAAGTGCTGTGGTGGTGGTGGTGGTCGCACACTGGTTCACTGACCTAAGAGCACACATACAATCTGGGTCTCCGACCACAGAGTTTGGGTCACGATGTTGTTGATGAATGTAATGTTAACGCGTATTAAAAATTACACCTGCTCGCCTTTACTCTCTGATGACTTACTCTGTCCTTCTTTATACAAGTAAATGTTTTTACCTAATGTGCAAATAAATTACTTTAATTGAAAAAAAAAAAAAAAAATCAATTTTGTCACACATGCACACACACACACATGCACTCTAACCATCTTCTCTGCAGCAAAATGCATTGTGGGAAAAGCCTTTTCAGTGCGAGGCCTTGTCCAGATGGGCTGAGCAGCTCAGGTTACACCACATTTTTCAGTGCCCCCGCTATCCCACTTCTCCCCCCGGCCTCCTCTCTCTCTCTGTATTCTGTATGTTCTCTGGGTGGCTAGAGTTCGACTGAGACAGTGCTCGGCCTGTGTTCTAATGCAGCCTGCAAAGCATTAGTGAAATGAGATTATCATCGTTCTTACGCAGTGTCTGGGCCGAAGGTGGACAGAGGTGTGAGTTGGGAAGGTGAGGATGCCATTATTCGACCATCAGAGTACATGATGGCCAGACGCCTGCGTCAGCATCGTGGCTATTGATGCACACATTTGAAGTAAAATCTAAAGATCGAGTCTGTGGTGTGTGTTTTCATAAAATGTTTTTAGGCTAAACATGTACATGAGACTGGAATAAAATAATTATCATTAATAAAATTAATGATGGTTTGAATGAAATGTTAAAACCTTGACACAACTGAGGGACTTTGAAGATAATGTTAACATGCTAGACTAGCTAAAGGGGTGGACTAAAATGCTAAAAAAAAAGCAGTTAAAAAGCTATTTTCTGCAGCACGTAGCAAAGCGTGGTGATGGGATGTGGATCTGGGGGGTGGGTACAAGGACTTGGTACAAGGACAAATAAGAACTTGGTTCTTATTTGTGTAAGACAGCTAGAGCTACAATTTCTGTTTGAATAGTTTTGTCTTGTAGCTTCTATAAAAATAATAGCTTTTTGGGTCAGTTCTCAAAAATGTTAATAGCAACTAATACACAAGTCTCTGCACAATCCACTCTAGGTAAGGGTGGTCTCCATTAGAAGATGGTTTCTCAACTTGTGGTCTAACCCAATTCTCAAAATGAGGGACAAGAGATTATCTCGTGTTCAGGATGGTGGACAGAGGCAGGTTGTGTCTATGTGGCTTTTGTATATATGTGTGTGTGTATGTGTGCGGGGGTGTAGGCCCAGTATTAAGAAACGATTAGTGGAGATTAAAGCTCTGCCCTGCAGTCTGCCTGCACAAATCCAGGCAACAAGACTGAACAACCCTTCCCTTCTGCCCTGTGGTGCCCCCCCCCCCATAGTGCTGGGCTTCAAGCTCTAGGTAGGATCAATAGGGGGAGGGCGCTTGACTCTCCTCTGCTCAGTGATCTTCCTCCAATAAACTTATTGCCCCCAGTACAGAGAGCGAGCCCTCTGTAGTCTGACTGCCCTGATGTGAGGCTTTTACTGTTGCCCAATCGGGTTCAAAGTCAGTTGTTGGAAGTGATGATTGGTGCTCTCCAAAGTGGAGCATTGGTGATGTTAGCCATAACAGAAATACCTAAAACAATTGATCAAAACAATTGTGATATGTGTGCATTTTTCAATACTAAACTTTTGCATTGTATTTTATAAAAATGTAAATATATTACAGATTATTAAATAAGCAGAATGGAACGCTTAAATTATTAAATTATTAAAATTAGTAATCATTTATCAGTGATTGATTGGTTTCACCTTGACATCACGTTTGCGGCACCTTCCCGCTCCGTGTCACGTGACGCGGAAGAACCCAATCGTCTCCAACCGCTAATTTGTAACGTGCATTAGCAGCACCAACCTCCGCTGTTTTTGTTGTTACTTTTGGGAAAGTAACAGACAGAATTTCTAACAGACTTTTTTTACGGCAGAAAAAGTCTGCCTGTTGTGACCATTTCGACGTCAACATCCAAGAAATAAGTGAAAGTGCCCGTTTCTGAATCTTCTGTCGTGAAAGGAGCAGCAGGTGAGTTACCAAATAGATACCACTGACGTAGGCGGAACGTGTTTATCAGGATTTTTCAAATAAATAAGTATATTAAGATACCAGTTACGTAGCTCAGAAGATATAGGTTTTAAAAATATGATTTGAAAGAATAAAAATATGGTAAAACATATAGGAAGCGAAACAAAAGCAAAACAAAGTGCCGAGAGAAGATTCGCCAAAATTATATAAAAATATGAAGATTACAATCTAAACAGTTAAAATAATAATAAAAAAACTTTACGCTATATTTGACGCTAAGAAGCCTAAACATTGACATAAAGTAGCAGAACTTGCTAGAAGTTAAAGGGAATTTGACCGAACCAAACAGCTGAAATTTAGTCAAAATATTATATATATATAATTAATAATTGCCACCCAAAAAACATTTCTTCTGCCACACCATATGCACTGCTAACAAATTCCAATTTGAAAGATGTTAGTTGTATGTTTCCCATCAGTAAGTAATGCCAACCTATTTCCTCCATAATCTGGAGGAAGATATACTCTGTCGCCTTATAGATTACGACCCAAACATTTCCATCTCTGTCCTGTTCTGCAACAGCAGGACCCTGCTTTCAAATCCCCAGGCTTTAGAGCAGGGCAGTTTTGGGCAGCTTATGATGTAATCACAGCCTTGTCAGTCACGAAAGAGGAGATAAGATAGAGGACGGTCAGGCGTTTATTGTGTTTAAGGTTTGTATGGTGTATAAATTTATTCATAAATGGGATTCCACTGTAGAGCTGTGACAAAAGGTTGGGTTTGGTTCTTAGCTCTTAGTTCATATTTTCATATTTTATATTGTGAACGTCTTGTTTCTGCTGTATAAGTTCTGGTATTTAAATATAATAATCCTAAAGCATTCTTCAAAAATCATGGCCATTAGGTGTATATTTCATTTATTTATATAGAGAAATTACATTTAATGTAGCCCTTTTGTTGTTCAAGCACACCCACAAGAATGAATCTCCTAATATGGTCAGTGAATAAAAAACAAGGTAATTTTAAAACAATATTTTATTGCTGTATATGCAGGAATAGAATCAAATTAATAAAAACTTCTAAGTCCTGACAACATATTTACTTCCTTATTGCATAATCCCTCTGATTTCTAACACCAAACAACATTGTTGTTACCTACTTGGGGCACCAAACAACATTGTTGTTACCTACTTTAGGGGTTTAGATAGATGGCTTTAGATAGATGGCTTTTGAAAAAAGGATAGACATACATTAAAAATGCTATAGGTTTGTAATATTAAAAAAGTCTAAATGTTTTAGAACATTTTAGGGAGACAGGATGTAGTTACACGTAAACTTAAATACTAAAAAGGTAGTGCTGTCACAATTGACAACAGCATAATAAATATGAGAAATTAATCAGTTAAATTTTTTGCGTTGTTGTTTATAGTGTCTATTGACGATTGTTTAACGTGCACTGTAGTGCTCTACTTCAGTAATTCAACCATTCATTCACTTATTGTTGCTCTAATAGACAGTTGAGACATCTTTTTGCACACACAGGGAACTTGTTTTTTTCCACCAAAGAACCTAGAGTTTAGAGTACTATCTCAACAGCCATCAAAGGTTTGGTATCCAGGGTAACTCAGGTAGCCCGGCTTGAGTATTACGATCCGCACATCTTGTCTTAATTGGCTGGGAGTACGCAGAGCCAGGCTGAGAAGGCGCAGATATGACGAGCCAGGTGTAGATATTTTGGATAAGTGTGTGTTCACAGCGTTCTTAAATAGACTTCGAAATCGCTCACAGAATCACTGATGGGAAAAGATAACGGTCACGTTTCTTACTTTATGGCCACTGAACAACAGTTTCCGATTGAGCTGTAAAAGGTTAAACACGTCATAAGAAAAAGAAAAATGTCAATGCTAGTGTAGTAATAAAGGTGTGAAAGTATCAGAACAAGATGTGCTCTTACACTGACAGTTTAGTACTACTTCCTATGTTTTTATGTGAAGGAAAACACATTTCGAGCCTACTTTTTCCTGTTCCAGCTGAGGCAAAAGACGTTGTGTAATTATTTTCGAGCCTACTTTTTCCTGTTCCAGCCGAGGCAAAAGACGTGTAATTATAAGATTTTTCTGTTATGAAGAGAGAAAATTGCCTTTGTGAAATGATATATGTGTAATTTTGCATTCAGTTGATTTATCTTTAATAATTATAGTAGTAATAGTTAATCCTGATTCATCTACAGCTAACCTGTAATCACATAAAAAAACAAAACAAATACAAAAAAAAGAGCATTTTAAAATGTAACGTCAGTACTCAAGTGTGTTGAACACCAGCTGGTCTATTTCATAACCAGACTTTATTATTTCTTTAAATACATGTTTGGATTCAGAGCATTGTTTAACTTTGAGTTTAACTTTGCAAGCATTTATTTTTCACTTTAAAAGCTTATTTTATCAGTAATGGCTCTATAACAAATACTTCAGTCCATGTTTAATTGTGAGCAACCTCGTGTAACGAAGAGTACAAATACATGAGGACTAATTGACATACAAAGGACTTTGTGTAAAAAAAATAACATTCCAAAGTGTTACACCAATCCATGCTCAGTAAATAAATGTACGTGGACTAAGTGGCAGCTCAGCAGTGCAGCAGAAAAAAAAACCTTCAGAAATATCCTGAGTCTTCACAAATTTGAGCATGTGCATGGATAACGTCAAGCACAAGACAAGAGGTTAGGTCAGTATTTTATCACCAGAGTAATGTTTAAGTATCAGACTTTGGGCAGAAACGAATTACAATAAACAAATTTACAAATATAATTGTGAATTTAGAAGGGAAAAACGGGCTGTGTTTCCTGACTAGAACACATAAACGTGTCATGAAGAAGCACAGACAGCACGCATATATTTCAGAAAATGGTAATTAACAAATATACACAGTGGTGGTGGCTTTCCTCCTGGGCTTTTTGGTTCATTGTTGGTTTGAAGTACAGGTTAAGGAAATAAATACTAAATACGTAACATCACAGACTTAAAAAAGATGAGGCATAATGAAAAAAAAAATCCACCAACAAACATAATATCTTTACATAATAAACAGAATGCACTGATATTATTATATACCCCACATGGATCGATTTTAAAAATATATTGACAATATACACAGCTTGAAGTCTTGGGTAGAGGATCAGAAAAAAAACAAAAAAAAAAACAAAAACAGTAGGACAAAAAAAAAAAACCCAAAAAAACAGTAGGACAATTGAAGCTCAGAAGTGGCCACTCAGTGCCTTCAACTCTTTTTCAGGAGCTGAGATGTCACTGCTCCAGCGTCACCACTTCCACAGCCTGGCCATCCAGAGTAACAGTGTTTTCAATACGTGTTGCAACAGGTGCCATCGCAACTTGGACGGGCCGATTCCCCTGTGTGAGACTGGTCACTACAGTCTGATACATGCTGACTGGGATCTGGACCAGACCTGAAGCAACAAAAGTAGGACACATTGTTTTCTTAGACACACACAACAGTGTAATTGTTTTCTTTTTTCTTTTTCATTGTTTAATTGTCATTTGCTTTCAGCTTCAGTTGCTTTGCTTAGCTATTTCCCTGTAAATCCTAAAAACAAAAATACTGCAGTGTGTTCAAATAGAAATTCAAAATATTTGTTCGAATGATGTATTCTTTTTCTGCTTTGTGTTGTGCAGTCATATTACTTCCCTACAAAATGACAAAAAAAGATAGCTCTTAATATTATAAGTCAAATACAGTTCATAATGTCATTAATGACATCACAGGCACGAATGAGGATTGTTACTTTAGCCTTTGTCAGGAAAAAGTTTCTAAGTAGTTCTCAGTGACAGGAGGCAGCCATATTTCTGAACAATGGTCTGATTCAATGTTCTGAGTTTGCTTCCCCCAGCTGTGTGTGTGTGTGTGTGTGTGTGTGTGTGTGTGAGTGTGAGCCTGCCTGTGGGGATTACTGCTGTAGTCACGTGGTGAGCCTCTGCTCCACCCTACAAGCTGTCACAGTGTCACCCACAGGCAAGAAGGTCAATGTAGAGGATGGAAGTTTTTCTCTTGCTCTCTCATGAACATTATTGTTATAGTGAAGATGTGGGACTCAAAACACAACCATGAAAATAAAGCAAACTATCTTTCTTTTTAACCATAAAAAATTAAATAGGTCCCTTTTTGTCATATTAGTGATTGTAGCCCCCTGTGACATGTGCCATTACTTAGCCCACTCACCGGTGATTTGTGACAGGCTTAAGTTGTGCTGATGTAGGTAATTGTGCCGGCAGTGATTATGTAGAAGGACTTAGCCAAAGGGGGCAATGGCCCTGGCACCGTAATACACAGACGCAGCACAGTGACTGAGTGGAGTGGCCACTTCAACGTAGTTACTAAGACGCTGAGGGCCAGGCCTGGTGTAGCCATGTGTTTGTATTGATGTTTGTGTGTGTGTACATGTCTACATGCATGTGTTAGTTAAAAGGTGACCATACAGGCCAATCAGCAATGTCTGGACCAGTGCACTTCAATCGCTGCTTTCTCCACTCCTGTGTAGTACTACGCTGATTAGCTAAGGTCAGTGGTGGTAGGAAGGACTGGCCTTGGCAGCTCTATTAGTTGTTTAAGTGAGTCTATTGTGGCCTATTTGGCCCAATAACAAAGAGTGTAGATTCATGGTTTCAACCATTTGAAATTACTTCTGCCATTTACAGTATTTTAAGATTATTATATTAATTAAAAAGCTTTCAACCCACATGAAACTATATGGTGCTTTTATATGCTAGAGATTAGGTATATGGCTAACCTTTTGAACATTACAATGTCAATGCATATATATATGAAATATATAAAAAGATTAAGTCTGATTATGACCAGCATGAATTTTTTAATCAACCAAAGAAGCTGACTTGGTATAAATCGTAAGTCAATGTCCACAATGGTTTGGATAAATGTGCTGCTGCTGCTGGTTAGCAGTGGAACTGCACCTGGAATTGAATTTCTAAATACCATCTTTACTTTAGACTTGACGTGTAGTCTGGTCCATGTTGTTTGACTCAAAGTCCATAAAATAGAGCCCAGACCCTACAGAGTCCAAGTCACTGTAGAAGAAAACAAGTCCTGAGTGATTCAGGAGTCCTGGACTTGGTTTGGTTAGGCATATATTGATTTAGTTCTTGGTCTTTAGTTTGAAGAAAATCTGCTGCTTCTTACAACAATTGTGAATTAAAAAAGAAGGAATTTCAATTATCTGTTCAATAATAATGTATTAAGTCATATGGACATGTAGGCAAAGAACATAACATTGGTGTTGACAGCTGGCCAAGTGATAAGACCAAGTACTGATGAAGTGGATCAAAGCTCTTTAGGACAGCCCTAAGGCGGCTGTTCTAAAGATGCCCCCAGGTGCTTAATTAAAAAGTGTGTGTGTGTGTGTGTGTGTGTGTATTTATCTTATTGTAGGATGGAAGATTAGATTAGAAGAAATTATAATTGAGAAAAAGACAGAAAACGTGATAGGATGTGAGCTTAACCGTTAAACTGAATTAGATTAATTAATACTTAATTTCCCATTACAATTTCCCAAGAATATAATATTAAAACATTTTTTTACATATCAGCTGTAAGAATGGACATGTACCTGTGGCATCTTGAACCCCTGCTAGTGCCCCAACGGCAGCCGCTGTCTCTGCTAGGACGATCTGTCCGCCACCTTGTAGAGTAGCCTCGGCTAATGTCGCCACAGCGTGGGCTGCTGCCTCACTGTAACACAGGACATGATATTCAGAGTTATTTTTTCTATAAATAAAGTCAGAAAACATTTTAATTAACCTTTTTTTCCCCTCAGTAGAAACGTGCACACACAGGTCGGGGGTCATTAGAAAAACATGGGGGGAAGAGTGTAGGAGATGTAAGAGGCTTTGCTCGTCTGGACTTATGTAGAATCTGTCACATCCTCCCTAAACGCCAGGTGCTGCGGGTCTAACAAAGCAGTTTTATTAACCAGATCTCTCTGATGGATTTACTGTGAGCCTATTAGCACACCGGCTTCGTTATGAACTAATGGAACTGCTCCCAGCTTGGTTCATAATCACACCGGAGACATAAATACAGATGGACAGATAAGGAGGAGGAAGAACTGAGACAGTGTGAACAGTAATGATGACACAGTATAATAGCCACCAGGATGCATGTTTTTGGTAGTAAAGTATAACTGCAGTTTGTAATTAATGTTACAGGAGCAGTAGTCATAATTGATATGGCTTTATTTTGGCTCCCAGTGTCACAGCAGGTGACTGAGGCAATATTTCCTACCAGCAGCTGGAAAACAGAGACAAAGTGTTCCAGAGCCCACGGTAGCTTAGCACAGGTAAACAGCAGGAGGGAGGGAGGGAAGTGTGGAGGAGGGGAAGAGAGGGAGGAGGACACAGGTGGGTGCATGTAACAAGCCCCACTGGGTCATACCCATACACTCCTGAAATGATTGCCTTGACAGTGCTGTGGTTTAAAAAAAAAACAACTAACATCACAGTAAAAATGTGTTGCGTTTCTAAGAGAAATAGTTACCGGATCATAATAGAAATCACTTTAATTCTTATAAAACAACATAATAACACGAGTATAGTGTTTTACTGTAATGTTTGCAATTTACGTATTAACATGATCCTCAATCCAGGCGGTAGGTATTGAAGTAGTTATTCATGTTTAACGTATTAACATGATCCTCAATCCAGGCGGTAGGTATTGAAGTAGTTATTCATGTTTAATATATCATTAATATAGGAAATTCGTATTTTCAAATATTTTTTTTTACTTACTGTTGACAGATCCTACTTCATACAGTTCAACCCAGCAGCCTAAGATGTTAATATAAATCTCTGTCTTTGAATTGAACAAACAATATATTTACTTTTTACCATGTTTGTCAGTCTACTAAGCAAACATCAGCACTAATAAATCATTTTAGTAGACAAAATGGCATTGTAAACATGGGACTTAGCAGTCAGTTTAGTCAGCTGTACATCTTATACACACACAGTCTCTATGAAAAGGCTTCCAGCTAATTAATTCTTTGCTGAATTAAATTAAAAGTAGTCAGATCTATCTCTATAAAACCCTGCGACCTGGTTGTCGGATCTGCCTGTGAATTTACGGAATATAGCTTTTAGTGTGCCATTTTTCTGTTAGCATTTAACTGTGATCAAATGTTACAATCTTCAATCAAAGTATTTAGTGTTTAGAGCAGCCCAAAATCAAGGTGAGAGTGCTACTATGACAGGGCGACTGTTGGCAAAAAAAGTGTGTTATTGCCCTAAAATATTTACGAATCACTGTTAGCCGTACCTGTTTAGGGCCATTGTGACGGTAGCACCGGGTTGGATCTCATGACTGGCAGCAACAGCAGCTTCAGCCAGAGATGCTACGGCCTGCGTGGCCTCTGACGCTTGTGTGGTTTGGATCGTCATCTCTCCGCCCTGGAGGGTGGCCCAGTTCTGTTCCACCTAAATAGATATTAGTGGGTTAAAAACAAAATACATCCCATCATTACGGGGTTCGTTTACTTTTTTTTTATGCAATTGTTTTTCATGACTTTTTCTATTAATAATATATGCAATTTATGGATGCTAAAAATTATCCACACAATACTTGACTTTTCCAAGACTTTACAGAAAATTTCATTTTTCATATATGCATTTTTAATTTCCAAAACTTTCCAGGTTTTTAATGACCGTACGAACCCTGTCATTAGCAATTCTGCAGTTAAGATTGTGCACAATCTGGCCTTCTTGGATTGTAGGCCTGTAGTTGAGCATGTGTACCTCTCCATCAGTCACAGTGGAGTAGTTAACCTGTGTCACTGTCACACCCGGAAGCTCTGAGGCATCAGCCAGAGTAGCAACTGTGTGCCCTGTACCGACCTATGATAAAAAAGGTGAATAGAATACACAAATTACATTTCACTGAACCAATCACCTGTAAATGCTACTGAACAACAAAGTGAACAGGCATCATTAAATCTACCTGTATGAGTGAAACTGTTCCGTCAGGATTGTTGATGGTCTGTACTACAGCTGGCGAGGGCACCAGGTGAGCGATGCTCTGTGCTGTCAGGTGGTGCTGTGTAGTTGTTGTTGTTGTGACTTGCTGGTCTTCAAAAGCGTACAGCAGATCCTCTCGGCCGTGCTGCTTATAGCAGTTCTTTACGATGGTCCGTAATGCCTGCGTCCAAGAAACCTAGAAACAGCAGAGAAGGCAACAAAAGATTGTCGTTTTTTCTCCCCCTAAATTAACCGACAAATCATAACAATATCTGCCAGCCTCCCCCTCACCCTCTGTTTCTGCTCTTCTGTCCGGACATCACTGCGGACGTTGGCCCATGGGATGTCCTCTGGCCACCACACTGGCTTGCAGCTCTCCTTCCCCCAGCCAGGCTTCCCTCGGCCCGTTGAGTACTTTAGCATCTCTGGGATGAAGGCCCGCAGCTGGGCCTGAAGCAGAAGACAGATGGATGGTGGCAAGAATTTAAACAGACACAAATTTTTAAAAAAGTCAAGGGTTTCAGGGTTTGCAAGTCTCGCTCTTTACCCACTCACACATTAAAAACAAACACCACACACACGCCCTTGAGCAGGCAGCAGGAGGCGTGTATTGATTCAGTTCTTTCTGCTGGGTGATGAGGATATCAGGCCACTGCAAATAGAAGCTGGCTTTCTAAATAGGGAACACTGCTCTTGTGTTTAACAGCCTAATCTATGGCTGCGGCTCCATCCTGATGGTGTCAGACAGACACCAGAAGAACATCAGGGGACCATTATGACTTCACCTCAGCAGTCAACTTACCCCAGTACAGTTCCTAGTATTAGTGCAGGTTTTTAAAAAGGTGTCAGTAGGTGTCAAAATTTTATATTAACTTGTCCTTAATTCCTATTATTTAAGTAATGGATTTACTGGACTGTCAGTAGGGGTTCTCTACATTATTGGGTCAACGTTTGTTGACATACAATCTAGCCTACCAAAAAAAGGTAATGTTAACACATTTTAGAAGCATATGTTCTGCAGCCATTCATACCCAACCCTCAACCGACCTGCCATTATATTTTGACGACAATAACATATAATCAATATCAAGCAATCATTTATCAATAGTTAAAAATCCTAAATAAGCAGAAGTATATGGGAGAACTTGCCCCTTTTGAAAGTCTTGTTACATTTGCGTTGTAATGTAGAGTTGCCGCTCAATATATGACACAAATGTTTATTACTTGTCAAAACTTTGTCAGAGAAAAAAAAAGAATGTCTGGCAAAGCATGACCATTGAAGTCGAGGTCCCAATTTGCTGTGCTTGAATACCTGAAAGGTTAGCTGGAGCCAATGATGCTATCAGTGAAACCCAGCAGTAGTTTACTTTTTAATCACATCTGCTTCCTTTTGTTATGTGGCTTTTATCTTTATCAGATTTGTTCGTAGCATAAACATGCCACACAAACGAAAAAGCAAACAAGACTCACTCATCACATCAACACTACTAGAGCAGGGACACACAAACACACACTCATTGGCAGGCTGGGGAGGGGTTTAGAGGCAATGTCCTCAGCGTCCTGTAATATGCAAGCATCACCAGGGGATTATATTGCACATTGAGGCACTGCAGTGTCTGCCTGCTTTGACATTACAGGCTAAATTTGGTTCTGAGAGAAATAAATCCCCACTTTCCCCTCCCCCATAGACCCCCATTTTATAACAATCAAAACCATCATCATGCAGTTTCTCAGTGCAGTATCCAAAGAGATATTTACAAATGGCCAGCCATTAAACACGTGGCTGTAAAAAAGCTTATTTTTGCATGTGACAATTGAATCAGTCCAGTTCAAAAGAGTATTGCATTTCCACCTGTGGATTGTGTGGATGTATGTGGACGCATGTGTGTAAAATGTAAGGCCAGATGGTCTAATTACTGCAGCAAGTGTGTTAAGTGGCATGTTGTTCTGGCACCCACCACCCAACACCCAAAGTCTTAATCCTCTGAGCAATTGTCCAATCAGCAACAGGGGATCGTGGCCATGTTGTCTGGTCCTTGGCCCTAACAAGGGTAGGGGGTAATTATGGGCTCAGGCTCGTCTTGGGATCACCTACTTCAGTACTCTGTGTACTGTCCAAGTCAGAGGCATTGTCTGAATCATTTAACTTTACCTGGGTTTTTTCTGCTGCACAAAATGGTTGTGCAGTTGATGGAGAAGATGGTTCCTATCTAATAGGAAGAGAGAACTGACATCCATTGTTAGTGCTTGCAATTTCCAATGTTTGTCAACTTTCTCTCTGATGCACTGAACAACTTCCTGTCTCCAAAACACTCTCACGCCATTCCACTTGGCTCACTCAAGCTGAGTGCAGCAACAGGTTACTCATAATAATCTCATCTTACTACCTCCAGAAAAACAAGCATCAACCAGCACCTGCCCTCCGAGGACTCGTCTCGCCCTGTCATTGGCTGCTTTGCTCCCAGGGCTTAAGAAAGGTTCTCTGAGGACCACTGTCATGCCGGCTACTCTGACGATGAACCCGAGAATGCGTCAGCAGCACTGGGAGGGCAGAGTAAACAAGCTGGGCTCCCTTGAGTTTAAAGAGAGGTCTCAGCCTTCCAGTGGTGCTAATGTTGCAGTAAAAGAACTACAAAGAGCAGTGTGCTCTCCATCTCCTCCTGCTGCTACTACCAAATCCTGTCTACAACAACGAGAGGTTTGGCTAACATGGAGCCACTGCCTAGATGCATTGGGCCAACCATAAAATTCACACATTGCTGTGGTCCTGTACAAAAACTAGGAATTATTGTCTGTGACCTTGAAACCCAAGAGAAACTATTTCTTTTTAAATCACAGAAAAATGTGATTCAGATTTGTTGCTAAACACTGCCCTCTGCTGGAAAAAACCCCCCACAAACTCAGTCACAACTTCAACTTGATTTCTGCATGACCAGCTGCAGATTGTCAGTGTGAAATGGTTTCCCCCTGGAAAATGTTTTAAATCATAGTCTGAGCCTGACCTGGGTCATCTTGTCCACTGACACAGGGATGCCATCGATGGTGAGTGGGGGTAGTTCTGAAGCAAGCTCTCCACCTGCAGGGGCATGTTCAGCCAGAGCATTCTCCAAATCCTCCAACATCATGCCTTTATATTTCCTCACCTAAAGTGTTGCAGAATAGTGGAGTCACAGTGTAAAGGTTTGGTAAACCATTGAATAAAAAAGTTTTGTATTTGCCTGCTCAGTGGGACATTTTAGCTTTCTACTAGTACTACTATTAAAGATTGCCCTCCAAGATTACACCCACAAAATTGTCCTGCCAGTTCAATGTTAGATAAAAAGTTTAAGTATTGGTGCAGTTTAATGCTTGAATCAATGTAACTGTCTTATGATGAAGCATCTACAACAGGATTCATTCGACACATACCACATTCTCCAGAGGAGCTGCACCAAACACCTTAAACACTGGGTTGGGTTTAGAGGGAGATATACACAGGACTATGGCCTGCTGACCCACTCTGGTCGTGTACTCATCAAGTGTTGCTCGTAGTTTCCTGTAAACATAATGTTATATGGCATGTGTTGTTGAAAGATGGCAGTATAAGACCTTTTTTTGGTTTCTGATACTTACCTGAGCAGACGGGTTTGCTGCCTTTTGCGGATGGAGGGGTTTGATTCAAAGATGTGAGGCCTTTTTCTTTTCTTACCAGTTGCTACAGCAGCAGCTGCTGCCATGCCAACTGGTCCTGAGGAAAAAAAGACACACCAATACAAAAAACATGTTATTTACACAGCAAATGACTAGACAAGTTTGGGGCTCTTCTTTGATTTAAAAAATGTTAAGGATTTTAAATAATTATTTTTTTAATTTTGGCTCTTCATGATTCTAAATATGTTTTCTCTTGTTAGCAATTTTTACCAGGCGGTGTCGTTACGGGCAGTTGCTTTACAACAGTTAAGGGGCACCATCTGGTGTCCTGTTTCAGACACTACAACAAAATAAGGCAATATTAGATGTACTGAGACCTAAAGTACTGTAGCCAACTGCATGTCGTGTTTCCTCTACAGTTATATTAAAAGGGGATCACCTCCCTCCTAAAGTTCTTCCACAAAGTTAAAGATCAGATTAATCTTATTCGTGTAATTTAAGTAGCAAAAGTCCTTTAAAGTTACAATTCCTTCAAGTATAAACACTTTGGAAGGAAACACTGATATTCCAGGGCCATGTTTATGAACAAAGATAAGAACATTAGTTTCTTCAAAACAGTGTCTATCCTAGACTAACCTGCAGCAGCTAGGTGGGCTGTGACCTCATCAGTGCCAGCTGAATTGAGGATATCTGTGTCATCGTAAGGGTCATCATCTGGGGAGGATGTTGAGTCTTCCTCTGCACTCATCATGGACGTGTCAGTGAAAGTGGTTACATGAACCTTAACAGTAAAAAAAAAAAAAAAAGGTATAAAATGCTTGATTTCCTAATAGTACCATAGGATTCATATGTAGCTGGAAAGGTTAGGTAAGGGTCTTAAGTTCTGTTTTATTCCTCTAAGTGGTCCTATCTGACCTGTTGGCTGACAGCGCTGGCCTCGATTGTGGTCATGTGCTGTGTCTGGTCAACTCCGTGATCCTCCATTATCAGCTAGGCACAGCTAGATCAACAGTTGGGTGACTGAGAAGAGATAGAAATTGTTGATTATTTTTAAATAATTTTAACAGCACAATTGTTCTTCTTTCTTTTGTTTATTATTTAAGTTTTCCAGATACATGTTGTTCCATATACCCTCAAAAGTCATACACTCTTCAGGCCAAAGAAATACAAATACTTTTGCATTGCTCACAGTCATTAATTAAAAACAAAGGCAATGGGAGATTCAATCAAAGTATGCATTTATAAACAACTGAACCAGACTTTAATCATACATAAAGTCCCTTCCCTGCCATATAAATGGACAAAGCAGTTGATATAGCCCATTGTGGGGTCAGAGATAAGTGGAATCTATTCACTCAGATTCATTTTTCCCAACGTGGACATTTAGTTGCAATGAGTAGACCATGCACCACTGTAAGTGAGATAGTATGTGTGGCCTATGACTATGTGGTTTGTGACTCTTGGAAAGGTATCTTAAGATAAGCATATATTCTGGCTTGGGTGACAGAAAGGTGCCAATGAAATAAAATGTATTATTATCATTAATATTTCATTTTATTGAATGCAGCAACATTTTTCATTTGTGTGGTGTCACGTCCCCATTATCAAAAAAACAAAACAAACAAAAAAAACCCCAACAAAAACAAAACATGTGTAATAACCCTATTTGGTGGCTAATTCCCCCTCTGAAAGTAGATTTTTTTTCGGTTTTATATAAAACAAAGGGCCCTAGTTGAGTTCAATACGTAATATAACTTGTTCAATCAAAATGGTGTGCAAATTTTAAATTAAACACTCAAAATTCATGGATTTGCCTTATTTATTTTATTTGCACACGGGTGAGTAGGATTTAGAAATGAGAACAAAAACATTACTAAAATCAATACACAGTTTAAGAATCCAGCATTTAATCTTCAATACAGTGACTGCATTAGCCGTATCTGCTAATATCAATGGGCAAATGATGGAATAGTTGCGCTTCTCAGCAGCAACCTTTATGTATAATGCATGTAGAATTATCGCATTGGAGCTTGAATAAAACTCATTATCTCAGACTACAATATAAAATGATTAACAGCCTTTGTAAAATTATGTGGCGCTATTACTGAAGCGTTACACACTGAGCTTTGGTGTTAACATTCGCCGGTTTCTTTCATAACGGCTAAACAAGCAAGCTAAGCTAACAGTGTTCTACATTTGGCTAATTGGCTAAGCTAACTTTACATTGGCTATTTCATGTTTAAATGTTAATATTGAACGATGTCTTTAGTGGAAACAGCAGCGCGTTGAAAATACAGATCTCCGAGCGGACAAAAAGTCATTGAGCAGACCGGTATATGTTCAAAACTCCACCGCTAGCTTTCAACCCGCGCAAAATACAACAAATATAAGCAGGCCCTGTTCCAGGCCTGTGTGTCATTAACACAAGCTGCTCAAACACTATGTGAGCCTGAAGCCTTATAGAACATAGGTTTATCGGACACAAAAGCCACGCATGGTTCGTGTGATCCCGTTCCGGTCGACACATAAACAATTGGCATCTTTCACCCCAGCGCTGCCGGGTTCGATGATGCGGCTGCGCCGGGGCTGAAATAGATGGAGATTGCGCGGTAGGGCACTAACCTCAGAGCGGCTGCGCTACTTCGGGCCTGCGCCGTACAGCTGGGATGGAACCGAGTTATAATGGAGGACAGGAAAGGGGAGCTTATAGACAGTCAGAGCGCACACAACACTGGTGGTGCCTTCAGGTACCACTCCAGAGTATCTTTTCTGATATCCCCGTTGAAAATACATCACAACCATTTATGGATCATGTTGGCGCGCTACGAGGCAGCAAAATAATTTTACACTGACACCAAACTGCATTTGTTGCTCTTATTCTAGGCGTCCGCCATAATAATAATAATAATAATAATAATAATAATAATACAAAAACATTTTTAAAATAATATTGAAATTAACTGCGTGGAAAAATGTGTTTATTAATGTGTAAATTAAATACACAATCATGATGTTCATAGTAAGGAAAATGTTACAAAAAGTGCATTGTATAATACTGTATGTTTTTCGACGAAAACGTCAAAGGGCAGGGGGTGTCTACCATTGTTGCATTTTATTACTAATAACTGGTGGAACCATTGTAAAGCATATTGAGTTTGCTTTGTGCATGAAATGCGCTTTATAAATAAATTGATTGATTGGTTGAAGCTAGAGCACACAACACAGCCACGGACACATGTTTTGTACTGCCACAGGTTTTACGAACAATGTTTAAAAAGAATCGGCGATTATGCGCGTCTCTATCAAATTTTTGCGGTTCATTAACGTGCGTGACCTATTCATTTTTCCGAAATGCCTTGAACGCCACATAAGACCTTACAATCTCCGCCCCTCTCTTCTTCTAGTTGAAACCCCCCAGATGAGAGTAGAAGTTATTAAAATTCTTTATAAGCCCTTCGAATGCCTTTGAATTTGCGCCAATTAGATGAAAAATAATTAAATTTCTTAGTCAAAATAAACGATACAATCTGAATAGTGACCAGCTATGATTAGATTACTTTTAGATTAAGCATAAACTATCACGCAATAACATCATACCGTCATAATATATAAACATCATAACAATGAGATACTATCTTAATATTTTAATGGTTTTTATAATAATGTTGCCATTGATTAACATCAAGCTTCAGAGAAGACAATGCATTTACATTTGTTCTGGAACACAAAAACTCTACAGCATTTGAAAGCTTTGATCTTAACATTATCTATGTTGTTAGCATTAACATTATTATCTCTCACTACATTATCCCTGAGAACCACCTTTGGGTCACAACACACTGACTTAAAGTCTTCCCAAAGTTGTAAAACAGATTTTCTGTGATGTTGTAATTCATAATTAAACTTCACATTAGCCAGCCGCATCCATATACACCTGAAGTGGGCAGCAAAAAAAAAAAAAAAAAAAACAAAACCTCGTGGACCTCATCCTCTCCAACTTTGTTGTAACAAGAGAAGGCAGCGAGGCATCAATGATGCAGCTCTCCGCAGGTGCCCTGGCGTGCTTTCAAGATGATGGATGTTTTACATTAGTGTGTGGTGACAGCAGCTTATGTTTGTGTTTCACTAAATGTCAGCAAGTATCATATTCAAAAATCTGACGGCAGTGTGTGACTCCACGTTTTTGGCCTCCACACTCTGTAACTGACCTTCATGCCTTAACTTGGTTACACTGTCATTCTGTATATATTAGTTAAACATCTGCAGACAGGATATGTTACTTTCTGTGTTGTGTGGACAGGAACATAATGTAGACAAATGTATGTTTTTGTGTAGTGAGAACCTTTTACCATTTGTGGTATAAATTGACTTTTTAACTTCCTTATTGATTTTAGAGGTTAATTTACCTTGTTTGGCCGCAGACGACTTTGTTCAGGATGCACTTTGTGCATTTGTTAAAGTTGTTTGTCAAGGACAACACAGGTAACGAGAGTTAGATTACAGTGCGATGATTGGGAGAGAGAATAAAACCTAGAGAGTGTTAATGAACCAAGGCACTCTTCTGCCTTTCCCATCTATGGGCTGTGGTTGGGTATAGATAAGACTTACAGCCTGGGGGTCCAGAATCAATAATGGATGTAATTGGTGAGGTGGAAGTGAGGATAATTGAAGGTAATTGTGTGGACCGGCAATGCACCAAGGAGAAGTTGTAGAGGAGGATGGGGAAAGAAAGATTTCTTCTTGTAGTGATGCTTGAGTCTTTTTGTCCTTACTGTAAATTGAGTTTTAATTACATTATAATACATGTAAAAAATATCTCACGGTTCTATTAAAACATTTACTCTTGTTTAGACATGTAGCTCTTTCCTATGCTTAATTCAGCTGTTGCAGCTTGAATTCTCCAGTGTCCCTGGTTTGCTATTGAAGCAACAACCTTATATGTAAACAAAAGTAATGGTTACCATGAAACACCAAACATGCTAAACAGTGAAGGTGTGCAGTGCCCCCCCCCCCCCACACCCTCAGTACTCAATAAACTGGTTTAAAAACAGTTATTCAACGGAAACAGTCTCGTAACCCAAATGTAAAACCCAAAGTTTAATGTAATACAGATTATTGTCAGATGTTATAGCCTGATGGAGTGTATTTTTCTAAAGGTGTAATGTTCGCAAAGGTCAGCAGGGGGCACTGCAACATCACGCATCGAGCCAAAACTCACGTCACTGGAAACTTTATTTGCTGCTCTGCAGAGTCATGCTCATTGAATGATATGGCACATTCATTCATATTTCTTTTTGTTTTTAAACTTTATTTTTATAGAGTCATTTATATTACATTACACATAGAAAAAGGGAAGAAAAACCCATTCATTTATATTTCACTAGAAAGGTTAGGGATTATGTTCATCTAGTAGCATCTAGAAACAAAATCAATCCACAGTCTATACTGCATTCACTTTCTGAGTAATAGGTTGAATATAAGTATTTACTTGCACCTGAAACTTCTTGGGGTATAAAGGAAAACAAGATTTTTTGCCTTAAAAGCAGAACTGTATCCAAGAAGTGTAACCATAAGCAGGGTTTGTATTGGTGCTGAAACATACTCAAGGTTTTGATGAAGTACTTGAAAGTTGCGGCTGTATTTTTTTTTGAACATTTCGTTTACTCTGTAGATTTAAATCAATCAAAGGAAGTCAAACATATTTAAGGGGTAATTAAAAATTAACAAAACAAGATAGCTAATTGTATCTTGACAGTGTATCTAAATTAGAAACTAGAAACAGCTTTGGCTAATATATGACACTTAACGATTAGCCAAAGGAGCTAAAATATTTCAGAGGATTAGTTTAGTTAAGCTATAAATGTATGATTAACGTAAGCTTCCTGGACTTTAAAGTTTAAGATGTAAGCAAATTATAGGTGAGCAAATGTAAATGCATTGAATTCACACAATGTCATCTGCATTGATGTTGCATTTAAGGGTTTCGTATCTCTCTAAGGTATTGATACTGCAGTTTTCTTCTCTGTAGATCCGAGTCCCTGGAGGAATCTCTGAGGGATGTTGTCAGTGATAAATGCCTGTTGTAATCACACAGGATATTTGATTGGAAGTGCTCCTGTTATTCCTCTGTGATTCAACATTAGAGTATGTTTACAGCATCACATATTTGAAACCATTCTGCATTTTCCGGCACCGCTTTTGTGTATTTACCTGCTGCAAGAGAGATGTTTTTTTCACATTTTACTTATTTCACTTCAACCATGTTTTTCCTCTCTGCTCAGTTTTGTTGCTATATTATATATCCCTTAATGATCAGAAATATTTTTTTGAATAAATACAGGCTGATTCAAAGCGGTAAATTGAAGAATTAGAGTCGGTGTAGCCTGCTGCTATATGTGAGCTGAGAGGAGAGAGTTTTGAGTGTAGTGTTTTCATTAAAGATAATCAAGTCAAGGCTTTGCTGTTATTTTTCAAGCACAGTCTGTTGTCAATAGAAACAGGGCTGTGGAGTGGGTAATAATAAAGGGAAGGAAAATGGATGGATGGAAACAGCAAGTGCAAACATTAAGAAAAAAAATGCTACAAAGAAAAATGTCAGCTAGCTATGTCTGTGTGAAACGTCTTACCTTCCTCCTTTATGATTCGCTCTTCTGACTAATTGGAAATGTAGTGGTAGGTAATGAACCTGTTTATAGATGCATTATTACAAAACCCAGCATCAGAAAAGGGCATTGTGCTGCAGTCATAGACAGGGAGATGAATAGAAAACGTGGAATGGAAATGAATCTGTGAAGGGCAATTGAGAGTCTTAGAAGGGTGAAATACTGCCATATATCTTCACACTTTGATAGAAAATCATACGCTGCAGGTGTGCTTTGATGTCCTTTCACACGTGCTGATTATTGTGACCGAGGTAATTGGGACCCTGTCGGCTTGTGTTGTGCCATGAATGCTTGTTTTAATGCCTGCCAAACAAGGGAATATTGCCTCGTAAAGCCAGGCTACTGGACATCTTGCAAGCTCAGTTTTTCATTGCAAGACTGAACAGGATGAGCGAAGCAGAAATTATGCGGCATTGTTGCTTTGCTAAGGCCGCCGGGACACCTTGCAAAAGCAACTTTTAGCAATCACAATAAAAATTTAAAAGGCAGTGACTGACATGAAGACAATGCATTAAACATGACGTGATGGTTTATCATTAGAGAGTGCTGTTAGCTTAACGCAAGCTGGAAAGACAATTTTCAAGGTTGGCAGCAACAATGATTGTAAACAACTTTACACTGCAGTGTGAGTGTTCAGGGTGGAGCAGGAGTGGGTAATCTGTGTTAACTGGTGGATTGTGGACAGAAGGCAAATAAGGATTAATGACAAAGTGAGCACCAACACACAATACTTCCTGATTCCCTTCCTCTTATTGCCTAGTTATATGCTGCAAAGTATGGGCATAAACAACTGAGTAAACATACATGTGTCCCGTTAGCATGGCGGGTGCAATCTTACAGAAGCACTGATCATGGGACTGAAACAAGAACAAATACTTTAAAATAGTTCCTGATAGTGACATTTTTTGGAGAACTACATTTATTATCTAATCTAGTATCTACATCAGCAGTCTCAATTTCAATACAGGTTGATTTACTTCATATTTTAACCAATTTAGAAAACCGGTACAATTTTGGACAACCTGTCATTTTGAAGGAAACAAGTAATTTAAAAGACAGGGAGGCAAGTTGGCAGACGTTCAGGCCTCATTGTGGCAGGGTGGTCGATGCTCTGGTCTTACCTCAAGTACATTGCTGGTCAAGATACTGTGGT